GAGCAGAAGAGGACGGAGGAGGAGGAAAAGGAAAAAGGAGGGCAGGAATGGAGAGGGGAAGGGGGGGGGGGATGCCGGGAAAGGAGAGAGGGAAGAGATTGTAAGAAAAGTATAATTAACTTTGAAAGAAGAAAGCATTTCGTGACAAGAACAGTTACTTAATTTTGAATATATATATAAAAGCATTGACGCACACCCTTCATGATCACCTTCAACAGCATAACATAATTTTGATACGACACCTAAGACAAGACACCTACACTGTAGATAAGACACCTACCAGAAGATAGAACACATTTTGATACGACACTTAAGACAAGACACCTACCAGAAGATAGAACACATTTTGATACGACACTTAAGACAAGACACCTACCAAAGGATAGAACAATCTTGATGAGACATTTAACACAAGACACCCACTTTATGGATAAGACACCTACCAGAAGATAAGACACTTTTTTTTCATATGGCACTTAAGACTTAAGACAAGACACCTATGCTGTGGATAAGACACCTACTCTGTGGATAAGCAACCTACCAAAGGATAGGACAGTCTTGATGAGACATCTAACACAAGACACCCACTTTGTAGATAAGACACCTACCAAAGGATAGGACACATTTCATGAGACACCTTAGACAAGACACCCACTTTGTGGATAAGACAATCTACGCTGTGGACAAGACACATAAGACAGGACACCTACACTGTGGATAAGACACCTTAGACAAGACACTTACCCCATCAATGAGACCAGTGCGGATCTCCGGCCCCTTCGTGTCGAGAGCGATGGCGATGGGTCTGGGCTCGGAGAAACCTTCCACAGCCTTCCTCACGTTGGCGATCGTCTCTGCGTGGTACTGAAACACACACACAGCACACCGTTAATGTGACGCGCTTTGAGGTACACACACACAGCACACCATCAATATGACACACTTTGATGTACACACATATGTCTGTGTCAGATTAACGCGTTGGCTATGGTCTCTGTGTGGTACTGAAACACACACACAGCACACCGTCAATATGGAGAGATGTACACACATATGTCTGTGTCAAAATAACACGTTGACGATTTACTCTGCCTTGTGTGGTACTGAAACACACACACACACAATGTTTGTGTCAAAATTGCACTTTTTAAAGTAAACACATGTAATAAATGATCTTTGTGTGTGTGTGTGTGCGTGTGTGCGTGTGCAAGTGTGCGTGCATGTGTATGAATACAACACACCTTTGACTAAATCATCACATTCAAGTCACTTTTAAGTACACCCCCCCCTGTGTAACTATATAACAAAACCGTCTTTATGAAGGGAAACCATTAATCTGTACTACAGTACACAGTCAGCCAGTCAGAAACATAAAAAGCTTGAATACACAACGAGGACACGTGTCTTTTTATAGCCCGTTAGCACAGTACCAACAAAAATATTTACCTGCCAATTACCACAGATGGTAAAGTAAGAGTACCTTCATTATTGCTGACAGGCTCACTACATTTTTTACATAGGAATTTTCTCTCTCCATAAACATACATACATACATACATAATATTACATTCTACACACATACCTGTCAAGACATTTTAAAAAGTGAGATCTCGTTAAATGAGAACTGAGCATTTTTTATTTTGGAAAATGAAAAAACCCAGCTTGAATGCTTTTTATTATCATCACCATCATCATCCACGTTGCCGAAGACGCAGCAATGAATAGGAGGATGTCAAACATAGGTTTGAATATCCAGGAACAATGGCAATTCGAATGGAGTTATTTGGACGAGCGGAGGTGCCTCTGAGCATAATGACAATGGAACCGAAAAAGAGCCTCGCTCTCCCTCGAAGATTTCTTCGTTGAGTCCACCAGGCCCATTAATGAAACCAAAAACAATCATCATCATCATCATCA